CGAAGAACAGGCGCACATCCTCTTTTACACATCTCGCGAACGAGCCGTCTCCCGCGACAAAATGCTCAGGCAAGTCGGCCTCGCGAAAGCATTAGTCAATTTCTCCGAGTGCGAGCTTCTCCCCCAGGGAGTCACTACAAGCTGACGATTTGATCGACGGTTAGGATGTTCGCTTCCGAGGAGGACGCGTGCGATAACGTCCATTCGCACTCGCGACGCATGCTCATGGTCTCGCCAGAGCCCGGCTTTTGGATCCACGCGGTGAGTTCTCTTCGGGCGATGCTTCTTTCCTTTCCCTTGGCGGCCCCTCTCTCACCGGCGGATCTAGTGCCTAGAGCTGGCAAAGACGCCTGCCGTGCCGCCGCCGCCGCCGCCGCCGCCGCCAACGGCGAACAAGGGGAAGGGAAAGGCGGCGTCAAAGGCGGCGGATAAGGGCAAGCATGAGGGCGACGTCGTTTACGACTATCACGAGGGCTCTGTGCACGACGTTGCGCTGCGCGCCCAGGTCCTGCAGGGGTACGAGGAATTCAAGGTACGTGTTGTCCTTTCGTGCACGTCCGTTCGTGCGTGCGTTCGTGCGTGCCGGCGGACGGGTGTTGGCCGGCCACCCCCACCGACACCACCCCTTATTTCTGTCGAATTCATGGTGTAGCTCACTCATGGATCGTTCGCGTCCATCCTCGGCGCGCTGGGACGGCAAGCGCTGGAGCTACAGCTCGAGAGGTTCTTCACGGTGTGGGCGTGGAAGTGGGACATCCAGGAGAGCTCAGAATTCGGTGGCTGCATCGGTGCGTTCTCGTCCACGAACGCCCCCGATCTCACCAAAAAAAAAGCATAATGCTCGCAGGTGTACCGCTACACCCCTCGTACAAGCCCGTCGGTCCACTCCTGGACGATTTCGTGTCGGACCACCCGTTCTTGGAGGAATGTGCGCCCTTCGTCCTCGCACATTCACATTTGATCCCGTCGTCCGTTTACTCCAAGTGCCCCCCTCCGCCCGCCTTATCCCTCTACGTCCGCTCTCGTTTGGGAGTCACTCCGACGCTCCCTCTCCCCGCTACGTCGAGCGAGCCTTTCCCTACGTCCAAGGCTGGGACGGACCTCTTCGTGAGCGGCATGAACGCGACGCGCGAAGCGATGGAGGCTACGGGCCATGCCTTTGTGGCGATCGGGGCGAGCATGGACGTGCGCAAGTGGGGATGGCCTGGGTACTTGACGTTCAGCAAGGGTGTGGCTCCGCCGAAGACCGCCGCGTCGCACGTCCAACCCGCTACAGACGCCAAGAAGGGCGTTGAGGAGAAGGAGCCGGTGGTGGAAGCGGCCGCGGCGGACGGCGGCGTCAGGGGTGGTGAACGTGTCCCTCCGAGCACTGAGGCGAATTTACGGGGCGACGTCGATAGAGAGAGCCTGCACGAGGCAATGTCGACCGACAGTAGAGAAGGGCGTCACGAGGAGGCACCTCCAGGAGAGGAGAACGCGTCCACGGTTCACTCGACGTCACAAATAGAAGAAAGAGCGGCAGCTACAGATGCCACGTCGCAGACGGGAAGCGACGACTCGCTGCAAGATGAGGATGAGTCGGGTTCGTCTCCACCAGCGTCTCCGTCCACGCCGGTTGTTCGCCCCCCTTCGCCCACCTCCCTATCATCCTCTCTGAGCACCCTTCCTGACCCTGTTCCTGCGCCGTCCTTCCGATCGTTCTCACTGCATTTCTCCTCACACGATGACCTCTTGGCCACTGCGCAAAGACGCGTCTTGTATATCACTGTGAGCGAGCATTCGTATACCCCATCCAGCTGATTGGACCCGGTCGTAGAAAGAGCAGCTCACACTCGCATTCCTCGAGCCGACGCTTAGCCTATCGGAAGACGACAATACCTCCTTGTATCAAACCTCATCCGCTCTCTTGGCAAACGTACAAGGGCTGATAGACCATGACGAAGCGAGCAATACCGAAACGCCCATCACCGCAGCGAAGATCCTCCAGCCCAAGGACCAGTACCTGATAGCGATGGAAAACAACACTGCGACTGTGACGAGCGCAGACTTTGCATCACGCTCGGAGCATCTATTCAACGGAAGCCAGATGATCATGTGAGCCTTGTTTGGGGCACACCCTCCCGTTCTTCGGGCTCGACGCTGACCGCTGGCCTTTGTTTTCAGCAATGGCGATGCGATAGAGGTATTCTCGCGCACTCAGGGTCCTCAACACTGGCACGTCGGGCGACGCGAGCCCGAGGGTACAGTTTATCTCGAGGTTTTTCGGAAAGAGACGAGTCTGGCAGACGTGGAGAATGAGTTGGTGGGCATCGTGCGACGATTTCGGGGACCGTTGATACGTTGACGTTGACCACAATCCGTCATGCGTGCGTTGCGTGAAAAATAAAATGGCACCGTGAGATTATTGAAAACTGTACAGGTGGTGGCGTTTTGTTCCCACGCGTATCAACGGCCAGAATCAGCCCTTTGACCCCTCCTCCTACAATCTAGTCCAGACACCTTCAAGGCCAAACCGCAAAAGATGGTGATCGGTTCCGGTTAAGCGATCGTAGTCTAGATCGTGCTGAGCCGTCTATCTTGCAGACAAAACGCACACGCAAGGTCGGCGTCACTGGCAAGTACGGCACGGTGAGTCGGTGTGCATTGCCGAGCGTGGACCCAGGGAGGGCTGATTGCGTCCTTGGTGGGGTCGGATAGCGCTACGGTGCTTCCCTGCGCAAGCAAGTCAAAAAGGTGTGGTGTCTCTCCGTCCATCCGTCCGTCGAGAGAGAGAGAGAGAAAAAGCTGACTTGGGAACCCGCATAGATGGAAGTCACGCAGCACGCGCGGTACACCTGCACATTCTGCGGCAAGGCGAGCTTATCTCTCTCGCCCCATAATTTTTTTTTTGGTCCGCTGACGCGCAACTCGCCCCTCGCCTTGTCTCTCTCTCTCTTTTTTTTTTCGTTTTACAGGACAGCGTGAAGCGCCAGGCGGTCGGCATCTGGAAGTGCAGGGGATGCAAGAAGGTCATCGCCGGCGGTGCATGGACCGTGTCCACCACGGCCGCCGCGACAGTTCGCAGGTACGTTCTGGTCGGTTTCGTCCCCCTCACAGCGAGGTCTGACCGGGGACACGTATTCTCACTTCTCAGTACGATCCGCCGGCTTCGCGATCTCACAGAGGCATAAAAGCAGCGGTCGCCTTCCCGGCTCTATCCTTTTGTTGTTTTTTTCTAAGCCACACGTATAAAGACCAAAGACCATGTGCCTCTATGGATCCATATGTCCGTAGTTGAAGCGTGATGTGCCATGCAAGCCGATTACCGCTCGGGGTAGAACCGGCAGGAGCCGTAGCGCAGAGCATGACGAACACGTAAACCATTCAGGGGGCATAAATCCAAGACCGTATATATTTTAACAAGGTCGCGTCCACAGATCACGACACAGAAATACATGACAAACGAACCAGTGATATAAAGAAAAAGGTCAACTAATCCTGAGCAGCTTCCTCGTCACCAAGGCTGGGGCTGTCGCCCTCTTCCTCGTCATCGTCATCGCTGCTCTCTTCGTCTTCACTTTCATTGAATGTAAGGGAGATATACTCATCACCTAGCTGGCTGTCCTGGACTGTCAGCGCGGGAGTAGTTACATCAGACACTAGATCATCGGTAGCAGGAGCGGAGACAGCAGTAGTCGCCGCAGGTACCGGGGCCGAAACAGCCTTGCGTGCGCGGTTGGCACGAATGACATGTGGAAGCTTGCAAAACTTGTTCGGACACTCGCCACTCTCAGCAAAGTCAGGACACTCGCGAACGTGCTGCTTGGAACAATCGATGCCGGCCTCACAGTAGCCGAGCACAGCAAAGTCACGGCAGACGCCTTCACGACGCCCCACGTGCACGTGAGGGTATGGACAGTTCGCCCGCGTGCAGCGACCGGCATTCGCAAAGTGTACGCAAAGAGGCGTGCGATGAGGATTCGAATCATGCGAAAGGGCACAGGTTTCGGCTGTGTGCGGGCAGTTGTTCTGGAGGTAAGGCCAGCATATTGCGATCTTGGCTGGGTCGTGTTTGTAAGCGCAGGTGAGGCCACGGTTGCAAGAACCTGTAATAAAGGGGAGATATGGTCAAAAGGAACCGGAGACAGGTTCAGGAGTGAGGAAAGGAAGTTGGTCAGAGCGCACCGGTGGTAGTGAATCTAGGGCAAGGCTTGTCGACGTATCTTTTCTTGCCCTGGTTACGTTGTGATCTGCAAAGGGTGATTAATGAACCAGCGGGAGAGACAAGGTTCAACAAGGACAGACTGGTAAGCCCTTCGAGTGTTATCGAGCTTGAGGCGGCTACGTGAAGGCGCTTTGGGCTTGTATACCCGAGTCCTTGGACCAACGTCTAATCTGTTTCGAGAAAACTGTACACGAGGCCGAGGACCGGAAGGAGGGGGTTTTGAATTGACAGAGGGTATGACTGGGGGCGATGGTTGCGCGGAGGTTGAGGGAAGAAAGGGATTGACGCACTGTCTTTGCGGACGAGGGAGCGCTTGGAGCTCTCGAACACGACCCCATTAATGGTCACATCGTGCGGCTGGGAGAGCGAGGGGCCAGTACCAGATGCAGATGCAGGACGTACTGTGGAAGAAGAGTTTGAACTTGTGGACGCTGTAGCACGGGAGGATTGGTATTCAGGGTGGACGTAGGTCTTCGATGATGGGGGCTTGTACGAAGGGTTGACGTAGGTCGTGCGCGACGTTGAAGATGGAGGCCGTGCTTGGCCACCTCCAGATCGATGACGATTAATGGCACCTAAGAGCGTCAATAAGAAGAATATACAGAAATAGGACAACGAGAACGAAATGCCTGTAAGACGAGCAATTTCGAGCTTGAGAGCAGCTTCTGGTGTGGCCATCGTAGTTAGAGTTGGAGAACAGGGAGTGACGGGTGATTCGATGGGCCAAGAGACACGACATGACGAACCCACGCCACAAATTCCAGATATAGCTGAATAATCACACATTTCATATCACAGCAGCATGGCGCAGTTGGTCTAGCGCGCAGGGCCCATAAAATTGGTCACCCTGAGGTCCCTCGATCGAAACGAGGTGCTGCTACTTTTTTTTTTCCTATTTCTTTTTGGATATCGCTTTATTCTTGGGTAGCTTCAGTCCTCCTATGTGTGAGAGGGAATTTGTATTCGACATGGGGTGGGAGAGCCTCCTACGCTCTAAACCTCACAATTAAAATCCAGTGTGGATGGTATAGCAGACATGTCTGATGAGGTGGGGGACTCATCCGACGTACATTCTACTTCGACTCCGTATCACCACGGGGCAGGTTTCCCCAGTCATGATCAGAAGTCAGTCACTCCTCTCTCCACCAGGTCAAGGTCACCACCATGGCTTTCGACACGGACCTCAGCACCCGTGACCTTGGACACTCGGCGGCCCATCTTGCATAACGCCACCTCAATTATAACTCGAAACCTCAGTCCATAGGTAAGGAGAGTGAAGTCGTTGGATAAAAGGCAGCGGGGGCCTGTGTGGGCACACACATGGGGGTACGGTGAACGGCATGAGGACTTTCGGATCAGTTGGTCTCTGTGGGCTCAACGATTCGGGGACAAAAGCTATGGCTTGTGCCGAAAACACTGAGGCTCTTATGAGCGTCTTAGAACTTCTCGGGTAGAGATTGTATTCGTGTTCATTGTTAGTTGGCTACATGGAGGTCTCTCATTGATAGTGTTGCAGGCCGGCCGTGGTTGTAGGACCGTCGCTGTCTCAAACACTTTGCCGTGCACTGCCATGGTACGCGGACTCCTGCGCACGTCGAACCACCCACAACTACAAAATCTGATCAAGCGAGACCCCGTATCGTATAAAGAAGAGTTCCTGCAGCAATGGAATCATTACAACTCGACACGTCAGATATTTCAGATCAATCCCGATGAACAAGGGTCTCATTTTCGGGAACTTGTCACTTTCATCTCGCAGGCAAGAATACGATCATGCATGCGGATACAACTCATCAAAGTCTTCGATAGGTTGCACAGTTCTATCCCGCGGAGACTTCAGAATTTCCTTCCCATCTGTCTTCCTTGCTGTTGGAGAGCTACGGCTCGCTTTCACCGGATATTCGTCACAGCCTCTTGCAGAATCTGGTCATGCTCAGGAATAAAGGAGTCATCACCTCTTTTGAGTAATAAAGCACAAATTTTCCATCCTAGATAGGATACTGAATGTCTTGGGGCCCAGTCTCCTCAAAACGCTGTTCCCGCTTCTTCCAAGGACAACGTCCTCCTCACTACGCGCGATTATCCGCAAAACAATCTTTACCGACATCAAGACAGCCAATCAGCGTACCAAAAACCACAAGCTCAATCGTGCTGTGCAGGCGATGCTCTTCGGCATGGTTGAGCGTGGAATGAGTGGGACGGTCGAGGGAGACAAGGGCAAGCTGAGGAGTACAGGCGCCGCGGTTTCGTCGAATAGCGGAGGCGAGGCCATGTGGGCTGTCGTGTTGACCAAGGAGCTTTGGAAGAAAGGCATTTGGTTCGTTCCTCTAACTCATTAAAAAACGACAATTGACAATGGTCCAGGAATGACGCAAAGTCTGTCGCCATTGTCGCCTTGGGGTGCTTTCATCCTATCGCCAAGGTCCAGACTGCGTCGTTGCACTTCTTCCTTGGTAGTGATGAGGAGACTGAGGATAATGACGAGGAGAGCGATGGCAACGTAGGCTCTTGCTTACCGACCAGGCTTCCTCTCACGACCTCTAGCAGACAATTGACGTCAAGTCACTTGAGCACAAACGTGACATCAAGAAAAAAACTCGCAGTGGTGACAAGAAGATGCGCAAAATACTCAAGATGGCGAGCAAAGTTCGGTCGCTTCTACTCATTTTGCCCCACCTGTCTGACCCCTGCTTACAGAAGCGGAAAGATAAGAGCCGAGGGAAGACCCCAAATTTCCCCGCCCTCCAACTCTTGCATGACCCTCAAAGTTTTGGCGAAAAGCTTTACGACCTCTTGCAAAAATACGACGCCCGCTTCTCGCTCGACCATAAAATCCTCGTCATGCAGCTCTTGGCTCGCGTTACCGCGTATCACCGGTTGACCGTCCTTGGCTTTTATACATACATACTAAGATACCTCACCCACCACCAACTACGTGTCCCGGCAATCCTTACTGCACTCGCCCAGTCTGTGCACGCGCTTACGCCGCCGGACGCGCTCACACCCGCGGTTCGCAAGTTAGCCCACGAATTTGTCCATCCAGGCGTGGGCCCGGAGGTGGTGGCGGCAGGTCTCAACGCGATGAGAGAGATATGTCGCCGTCAGCCATGGGCGATGGAGGATGACTTGTTGGGCGACCTGATTGCCTACCGGAAAAGCAGGGATAAAGGAGTGATGGTTGCGGCACGTGGGCTATTGCAGTTGTTCCGCGAGGTCAACCCTGGCATGCTCAAGCGGCGCGAGCGCGGCAAGACGGCTAGTATGGGCATGTCTCAGGGAAACCAGCCCGCTCCTTTCGGATACGTGGAGAAGCCCGCTGAGGACATCGAAGGCTTAGTGGTACGTCCTTTCAAGTCATTTTCCTGGATCGGTGTGGACCTTAACCCGCCGTAGCTCCTTGAGGATCACCTTAGGTCAAACCATGGGGAAGGTGAGGCAGCTGGAGATGAAGAGTACGACGAGAATGCCTGGGACGGTTGGCAAATAGAATCGGAGTCGTCTGACAGTTCATCGGACTCTGTCGGCTGGATCGACGTCGAGAGTGACGGTGAAGACCATCTCAGCATCAGTGACAGCGGCGATGAAGATGAGAAACACAGAGAGGAGCTCCCAAGGAACGAGGGGTTCGCCAACGAGGCGAAGCGGACCTCAACGCTCGCGACGACCAAGGTGAGCCATGCGTGTCTTTGACATGTGGACGACCTGATGCGTTTCGTTTCCCCTAGATCCTCACACCGGCCGACTTCGCACTAATCAACGACTTGCGAATACGAGCTGCCACGAAAGCCGTCGAAGGGAGCGGCGGCCCGGCCGCAAAGCGCAAGCTCGCCTCGCTCGAGGCCGCCAAAAAGGCCGCCTCCACGTTCGGCGCTGACGACGCGACGGCGGCGATGTTCATCTCGGAGAGCGACATCCTCGGCCCGCGCAAGAAGGCTAAGGCGGACTACGATGAGCGCGTGGCGTCGATAGCGCGCGGTCGCGAGGGCCGAGAGAAGTTCGGCTCGTTGAAGGGCAAGCGGACGAAGGAGACGCCGAGCAGCTCGACGAACCGGGAGAAGGCGCGCAACAAGCCGATAATGATGATCATGGGCAGCAAGGGCGTCAGGGGAAAGAAGAAGCAGTCTCTGCGAGAGAAGCAGAGGCGTCTGCGCGCGCACATCGAGAGGTCGAGGAAGGCGCATCACTAAACCGCTGCCGTGGCTGGACTCGCAAACGCGGTTGGGCGCTCCTCGGGTTCGTTCGCGGCTGGCGAACCCCACCCTTTTGTTTTGTTGTTTGTTTTTTCTATATTGTCGTCCTGTCAAGCTGCGAGAGTGATTGTGGCAGGTCATGATCATTCACCTATTGGTGATGGTAATGGCAGTGTTTGGAACTTTGCACCTGCCATGATGTTACTGGTAGCCCATACCAGAAGTTGTGTCCTTTGTTAATAAACTTGTTCTCCTGTAATAACTTAGGCCCCATTTACCAACTGAGAATTCTTGAATCTTGAACTTGAACTTGAATTTTGGTATTTTCTGGGGGTGACAGGAGTCACAGGCGTGATGAACGATAACTTGATTAACTAATACAAGTTTCTTTAATTATAATTTCTTTAATTATAATTATGAGCTCTTTCCCACCAGATTTGCAAATTCAACTGTTGTAATTGCATATTCACGTGTGTGCATATTCGCATGAGGTAACACATGATTTGTAAAAAAAATATTTCTACATCATGTCGGCCAGATGGTGATATGGAGGGCATAGTTTGTACATACATGAAATTCTATGCTAGTCAACATGCGCCCTTTGAATTCTCATTCTCACATATTGCTCCCACATGTCACCAGCAATTCTGTCTCGCCTGCGATTTGCTCGCTCCCTCTCATGCTGTGTCACTGGGCCTTCAGCAAGTTCACCAGCCTCCTCCTCATCTTGAGAGCCCATGTGGAGCTCAGCCACATCATCAAAGGTGGAAATCTCCCTAGGATCATACTCATGAATAAAATTGTGCAGTGCTGCAAGCACAGCTGGAATGTGCGCCTGAATTGACATGTTATAGTTAAGAGGACGATTGAGTAATTGGAACTGTCGCTTGAGGATTCCAAAGATGTGTTCTACGACATTGCGAGCTTGAGCATGACACAGATTGAACAACTCCTCATGCATGCGTGGCCTGGGACAAGTGTCAGTGAGAAAACTCAGGAGATGAGAAACATTACCTTGTGTTTGTGTGACCCCATTTGGTGAGATGGTACCACATGCCTCAATAAGGGGTGAGAAGTACATCTGATGAGGCAAAGCCTCCATTGCCAAGATAATACTTTCCGCTTGGGATAAAAAAATCAGAAAGTTGTGTGTCAAGGAAGAGTGTCGCATCAGCAGTGGAACCCTCCCAACCAGTCAGGAGATAGGTGAAGCGGAGGTCAAAAGAACATGCCACAAGGCAGTTCTGTGTGATTACTCCTTTGCGGTTCCTCGCCATGTCACGCTCGTCAGCAGTGGCAGAACACTTGATATGTGTGCCATCGACAGCGCCTAGGGCATCCTTGAGATATGGATAGAGCTTGGGGTTACTTTGGATAAAGGGGTGAGGGGGCGAATTGGCGTCAGGGAGCTGCACAAATGTGGTATAGAAGGGGGGGCTTGAGAGAACTCCAAGAATTTTTTTAAAATACCTAACTGCCTGTCAGAACAAGTGTGAAGAAACCCAAGTGATATGTACTTTGAAATGGTGCAGGGTGACCACTGGAAACACTCTCCGACATGAGTTGATGACAGTCCTGTAACAGCAGTATAGAGGAAGATGGCAATTTGTTCTTCAATTAGGACATGTTGTGATGAGGCAACACCAAGGTTTCGGATGGTCTGCCGGAGGGTGTCAAAGACATGTTTATG